TGTAAGAAAACTACCCATGCCGGTTGCCATGTCACTTAGCGGGGAAAGAGAAGAGGTTTTCCTCCAATAGGAGGTTAACACGTGGCGAATCATGGAGTTCTTTATCACAAATGACAAAGAAACCCTAAACTGAGGGAGAGTTTTTGCACGCTCGGCTGGGTGAGCGTGGGGGTAGTTTTGACATGTGCCGGGTCTTATCACGGAAAGAGAATGATGCCTTGGCACATTAGTGGAATGTGATTGGTTCGTGTTTGACACGAAACATTGAGACGCGTGGCCCCCGTTTCTCAACTGTTGAAACCCTAATTTTGTTTCCCTTCTCTAGCCGAATAATTAGGGGAAGGAAATACACGGGCATCCTGCTCTTTTTATCAATTTTATGAAATATTGATGTCGATAATTGGGAGAAAATCATAAAAATAGATAGAAATTATTTGAATTGATAAATAAAATTCTAGTTGTTGTTTATGGAAAATGTCGATATTGACAGAAAATAGATAGAAATTATTTGAATTAATTTATCTCATACTTTATAATTATAGATAATAATAATAGTATAACTCATCATTTTCACTAATTATATTGATAAACTTATGCTTACATAATTCGAGAGAGATCAAATCTCGATATGTGAACCATGGTTGTAACAAAAAATATAATAATTTCATAATATTAAAATTGTATATCTAGATAAATATCACAAATCTAACACAATATTTTGGAAAAGTATGCATAACTTTATGATAATACATTGAACTTTAAAAACCATATAATTAAAACGGTATATGTCGAGAGGTAGAAAAAAAATGAGTAATGCAGGGAGAGATAGAGAGGAATTATAGAGAATATCGAGTTTCTTGACATTTCATCGACATTGTCGATATTTTCTCAATATTTCTCGACATCTCGACATTTTTTTGACATTTTGGGAAACGAAAGTTTACCCCTTATCGTCGGAGGGTTCGACATCTTGAAATATCATTTGACATTAAAACACTAGTTTATCATTAATTTGAGTTTAAATTTTGGTTAAATAATAAAACGGGTATAAATTTTCAATATTATGCTTAATAGTTCAAAAGATAGAAAACTAGATTCTTAAGCTTTCAATTTTATCTCATAAATCATTGAATTATAAGATACTTTTAAAAGTTGAAAGACGATATTGTAACATTTAAGATGGATTTAATATTAGATAGTACTTTTCAAGTACGAGACTTAGCAAACGCAAAATATTGAAAATGTTAGAAACTTGTTAAACATTTTTAAATGAGAGTTATATTGGACATAATTCACAAAGTCTAATGGGCTAAATTGATAATTTAATCTTAAGTTTGCAATAAAAGAATAGCTTGCAAAGAAATTAACCATATCTATTATCTCTCCTTTTAAATATTATACTGCAAATATAAAGGTGGAAAACATATGTCTTTATTAAGAGCAGCTACACAATATGCTTAACAAACTTAGAACATGAATTTATCTTGTTTTTTTCCACTAGGTTTGAGGTTCAATTCCTATCTTAATATTTATTATTTTTATTTTTTAGTACAACATGCGAGGTTGGAGGTTAGAACTCACCACCTCTTCAAGATATTATAATTTGGACGATCATCATTCCCAAATAAAAACTTTTGAGCTAAAAAAAAAGGTAACTGATTCTTGTCCACATATTGTTCAGATTGATTTAAAAATTGTAATTAAAGAGAAAAAAACCGGGATTAGGATAATGTTCATGTTTTTTACTTTTTCATTTTTCTCGTCTTTTTTAATCGAGAAAAATATAACTGAATTTAGAATTTACATGAGCGAAGGAAGTAAAGAATCTTCTGAAAAGCTTACCAAACATATCCTTCATCATAAGTTTGTTGGTCTCTCACTAAATGAAATTTCTAGCCAACTACATAAGCTCAAAGTTATGTACTAATCCTTTATAATTTACCAATCTTTAGGTCAAATATATATAGGGTGTACAGCAGCTAAATTTGAATTTATATAATTCTTTTTTCTCCGCGTACACCTCATTAAATCAAGATTTTAAATGTCGATGTCCATCTCGAATGTTATAAAACTAAAAAATTTATAAAATATATTTAAATAAACAAAAATAAGCATTTCGCCCTTCTAAAAATTTAAAAATAATTAATGTCAACCCATGTCGATTTATCCTTTCATATTGATGTCATCCCATAGATACATGAAAATAACTATAGAAATATCGATATGTCAACGAAAATTTAAGACGCTCTTATTAGATCAAACTTTTGAATTAAAAAAATACTTAATTTTGACGGCATAAATTCAAACTTTTTTTTCGAACGGACAAAAATTCAAACTTTTTTTACTCTCTTGTATTACCAAAGTTGAATTTTTGTTTCATTTCACAAATAAATTATTAAATATCTTGTAACTTTCAAATTTGATAGATCCACAGCTAGGGTACGTACTAATTTTCTGAACCAAACCCATATTAATTATTATGGTACGTGACAGAGCAACAGATTTTTTAAACATATTTTCTTTACTTTTTCTTTGAATATATCAAATATCATTGATTGTTACGTAGAAAAACTATGAAAAATGGTACATGTAGTGCATAGCTTTATTAATTAAGTTAATTAAATTAAAATATAATTCTTTTTAATTCAACACATATAAAGTAGGAATTCAACCTTCAACTTTAGAAAATATAGTTATAATATAATAATAAAACATAGACCTTTATGAAACATGAGGATCAAAAGTTTCACTTGAAAGCATTTTAGACGTGATAAAGTATTTGTTATTATTAATATTATTATTTTATTATTTAATACAACAACATGCGTGAGAAATAGAGATTCGAACTCACGACATTTTTTTTTTAATTAAAGATAAGTTACTTAACTAGTTGAGTGAAGCTCAAATTGACATTATTGTTATTATTATTATTAATTTTATCGAGAAACATTTTTCACCCGCCTAAAATTTAGGAGATGAAATTGAATTTTCTAGCCCTAGAGTTATATTAGGTTAGCTAAAAGCGAGATGTGTTCGTCTGTTCCAAATTCCCTAAATTTGACGGTAGAAGTTCTAAATTTTTCAAATCATGGGAACGTATGGTTAAAATAATATAAGGGTTATCTATGACTGATAATTATTATTATTTTTTATTTATTTTAGTGACTATGACTTTTGCTCTAGATCATTTTCAACCCTGGTAATATTTAAACATTTTAATTTGATCTGTTTTGTGTTTAGCTTCAATTTATTTTATATGATTTTAAAAATTTCAGTTTATACTTAATAATTTGGTCCAACTGGCTTGTAAACTAGACATGTTACAATCTTGAATATGTTATGTACAGTTTCTATTGTCATAGCAATGATATAGACTAGTGTTTTCGTTTTCTGTATTATTGAAATTTAAGTTTGGCTACCCAAAAAAATTAGTGAAAGTATAGGATGAGCTTTTTCGAGGGCAAAAAAAAAAAAGTCAATAATGGGTAAGGTTTAACAAAATTATAAGAATTAAATAGAATGTTCAAGTGCAAAATATAGAGATAGAAAGTAAAATTCCTAATATTATGTAGATTAAAATGAAACAAAGCAACTCCATGAATTCATATAAATTAAATTGATAATTTAATGCTATCAATATGAGCAAAGCTTAGTAGTTAAAGTACATCATCTTCTCTAAAGCTTAAAATTCGATCCGATCACGCTCATGTTGTTCAGCTAAAAGAATGATAATCTAACCTAGGAAAATGATCACACGCATTATAAATTTATGTGTCTGAATTTCAAAACCCTTATGGCTGTCAATATTGAATAAAGATACTTGTTAATATATATGTATGTAGGTATATATATATCTGCCAACAATGTCTACCAAATTTAGGATCAATTCAATTCTGTTTTCAAATTTATCAAATTAAATAGATTACGTGAATTTTTGTTTTGCAGTTTATTTTGATTGTGCATGTGACTTAGAAAGATAAAAAGTTGGAGATAGAATTATATGTTCTGATAAAAATATGAAATGCAACTGGTCTAAAAGTTTTTTTTTTTCCCAATTAATGGGTGGCCTTTTCATTTCAAACAAAGGAAAATTATAATAATAAGAGAGTGTAGCTGTAGCATTTCTAAAACATATATGAAATATTAATGGATGGATAAATCACAGACAATCATTTTTGTTTTTTTATTTTTCCAAAACTAAATATCTTGTGATCGCGATCTGATTGGTGTTGCGTATTGGAAAGTCGAAAACACATTCTCCGCTGGAAATAGTAAACATTTTCACTTTGCACCCCAAAAAAAAAAAAGCATAGTTATCCTGTAGAAGCAATATTTAATATATAATACATCTCCAAAAAATATATATATATAATTTATAATATTTTAGAGATCACTTTGTTGGTAATACTCAGAAAATTTTTGGTACCGATGATTCATACCGTAAGATATCATCAATTGATATATTATTCTAATCATCGATCATGACAGAATAAATTATACTATAGAAAATTATCCCAAAATGCTATTCCGGGAGGATTTATACAAAATTTAATTCATTTGAATATTGAACAAAGACCCTCAGTACTTTAAAAAGACATTATTTTCTAACATCATTCTTTTGAAAAATATATAAAAAAATTTAGAATCTAAATTAGGAAACTTCTAAAAAGTAGAAAATAAGAAACAGAGTTATCAATAAAGGGGCCAAATTCTTAATATTGAAGCCAGAATTATCAACACAATAAAAGTTGAGGTAAGAACAAGCACATCTGGACCGATACAGAGCAATCCATCTAGAGAATAAAAAAGGAAGTGAGAAGTGAGAACATACAGAAGATGGAATGTGACTTACTTTACATATGTTGTCTGAATTATCAAATTTGTAGGTGGTGACTGATAACATAATTTGCAGTACGCTTGGTGATTAGCAGCAACATCAAATTCAAATGGTTGGCAATGGAAAATCAGCCCTTTTTGGGCATGGCAGCAAGCCTTGTGTACATCCTCGCCATGGATTGGTATCCTCGGATATCACCCGACCGAAGAAGATTGCCTGTGAAAGCCCACACAATCAGTTAAAATGATTTTTATTTCTACCCTCTTCCTACTTACTGCTGGAATAATAGCTGCTTTATATGTTCGTAAAAAAAGTTGACGAAATCGAGCAACTTGCATCAGTCAGTTTGCCTTCCAGGAGTGACCACCTCCATTCGGAACGTTTAAAGATTTATCTCCAAGGTCCTAAGTTCAAGGCTCTAGATGAAAAACTTACTAATTTAAAATTCTAGTTGCCCCCAGAAGTTGGTTTGGGATAGGGGAAAAGCTTCCCCAAAGAATAGCTGAGATAAGTCACAGGCATAATGCAAAGTGTAGGGTTTCCTGACATCATTTTTTGAAAAAAACGTGCAAACTATCGCATACCTTCGTCACATTTTAACTACATGCAAATTCTTCTCCAAAAGATCAATTTTGGAGTGGCGAAACGCAGTGGCCAGCAAGAATCAGTTTTAAGATCATTTAACTACTTCGCTACATTATCAAATTGTCACGCGCCATTCCAAATAAATAAACATGTAAATCCTGAAAATTCATTGTAAAGAATCCATGTTACACTCACCAGAATCACAGTTCAGCGGGCTATCGGGTTCTGGATGAGCCATCAATGCAATTATAGCCCTACAAACAGATTGCAGAGTCCACGCTGGGCTCCATGCATTCTTCAAAATATCGAGGCAGATCTCACCCGTCTGCAGGAAGATGCAGTGATAAGTGTAAAGTGTGGTTCAACAACCAAAAAGATATATGTTCATATATTTAATCACAGCAATAAAGTGCGTTAAAAATAAGGTTCACTCTAAAAGAAGACTACAATCACAAAAGGAATCAGCTAACGTGAATGGTCACCATTCACCAATATAGTTCTTATTAGCAAAGAATACAAATTGTATTACTTCACCCAAAGGCGCTGCAAGCCCTTCAAATTGCCAATGGCAATCTCATAATACTTTCCACTTGCCGGAGTGCCATGAATTTCACTTGGTGAGGCCCCCTGCAAAGGCTGGAATATGCTAAGTATTAGGGCTCTCACCTCATACCATGGCTAAATCACCCTCCTCCAAGTCTCCCAGTGGTTTACCGAAATCTCTCCCTCAAGGCTGCTGCTCACTTATGCAACGAGTTGTTCTGCAACTAGAATTACACTCATCTGGAAGAAGCAACCCACTAATTACGTCTATCTATTTGTATCCTCTTCATAAAAAAATCAAAGCCCTTGGAGCCCATTTGATAATGTTCTTATTTTTTGTTTCTTATTTCCTCTTTTTTAATAAATAAAAATAGAACTGCATTTGTTTTTGATTTCTTATTCTTTACTTTTTATTGAAAAAAAGAAAGAGAAACATATTTGGTAACCATATCTTATTTCTCGTTCTCTAAAATTTGAAATTTAAAAAAAAAAATTAATTTTTTATATGAAAATTAGTTTTTTTAAATATTGAAAGTTTTTTTGTTTTATTTATTTTTAATATTTATTATGTATTTTATAAGCCAGCGATAAAATAATACTTTTATTTGTTTTGGAAAAAACTAGAAATGGGAATGAGATAAAGAAACTTTATTTTGTAGTTTCTAAAATTTCTATATAATTTTGGAAATGTTTCTTGAGGATTAGAAAAGTGAAACAAAAACCGTTACCAAACGCTTATGTTTCTCAAGAACTGAAAAATTGAAAACAAAAAACGAGAATGTTACCAAATAGACCTCTAACTTCCCACTCGCAATCCCATATAACCTTTGATGGAGAGGTCATTGTCAAACTCCTCCATCCAAACATCCAACCCGATTTCAACTCTACCTCGTCCATGAGGCTCTTCAAATTTTGAGTGCACTCCCCAGTACCTTCAATGATATGGACATCATCTACTCAATTTCTATAATTCACAAGATGATTTGAGAGTCCCAAGACTCTCCACATATGATACACCACAGAATTTCTTTTCCAATATTCCTCTCTCCTGCCTCTATATAACACCTTCTATATATTCTCTCCCTACTCACCATCATGCATGGATATTGGATGCTTAACATAATTTGTTAACTAATTGAGAAAGGTCCTAATGCTGTTAACTCCTCTCCTTTAAACAAGTGTGTCCCCTTCCTCCAATGACTGGCTCATTTTTTTTATATCCGTGTGTCCGGGCCAACTTGCGCACTTCTCGACTATTCACGGGCCAACCGCCTGACCCTACTACATTTGGTTGACAAGGAAACTCGTAGGATATTAAATCGTAGGTAGGTGGCCACCATGGCTTGAACTCATTCTCTCTAAATCCTTTGTTATTTACATTAGCCCCCTCATTGACTACTTGAGCCATCCCAAGACTGCCTCCTTATAATCGTCATCAAAATCTTGTCGCAGGAAAGTAGGTCAGATCTTGTTGGATTGGGCAGGTTCTCTCAAGGTTCCCTCATTTGGGATCCCAGGGGATATCAAAATCTACTAGATATCACCTGGTTGTAACTTCATCAGTTCATGTTAAGATATTATGGGAAATAATGCAGCTATTAGCCAACTAGTTCATGAAAAATAATAATATTAACAATTGTGACTGAAGTTCTCATAATCAGCGTATGATCTAGGAAAAGGGTCACAGCGACTTCTACCTTAAAATGAACATTTGGATGGAAGATTTTTGTCAAGAACCGCACTTGAGGAGGTTGCAATGGATATTGCTCAGGTACAGAAAAGGCAAGCTGGAAGACGCCACCTTCAAAAGGAGTCTCTGATGGTCCCTAAATATTATACATATCGATTATGGTAAGAAACAACTCTTGAATCAAAATTTTCATCTGGATCATCAAGAGCATACCTTGATTAGGGCAGTCCATTTAAAAATATTTGAATCGTCACAAACCAATTGAATATCTGGATCTGCTACCTTTTCTCTTTGAACCTCTTTGTACTCCTTGAACAACCTTGCTCTTGAGGCCTACACAAAATCACTAAAAAACTTATCGATGCAGTTCCAGGTAAGTAGAACAGCCAAATCATTTCTGGAAGCTAATATGTAGTTTCTCGAGCATGCAAAGAATTTTTTTTTGTAATAGCTGTTCAGTGACACACAAGCATGAAGCTAACTGAAATCAATACCATAACCATAAAGATACAAGAGCAAACTAGTGTATAAATTAATGGGCAAATATGAGTAGACGTTCACTATCATACTGGGAGATAACAAAAGGTCAAAAGCCTAACCTGAGAGAAACCATATAATACCAATCACACTAAAACAGTTGCAGATGAATCCAAAAATATATAAGAACTTCTGACGTTATTAACTTCCCTTTCACTCGAGAGATATTGAATGAAGAGAGGAGATTCGAACCTATCACTCATACAAGGAGACACTAGTACATAACTATTTGATCTATGTTCAGGTCAACTCTTAAAGAGACCTTAAAAGTTCCAAAGCGAAGATGAACACGATAAAGAAAAAGAGAATGGAGCGGAATGCCAAATCAATCGCAAAAGTCAGTAGTACAATGCATTGAACATTGCAAACGCCCATTAACAAAATGAACTCAACTCCCACAATCCAATGAGTAACTCCTCCCACAGCAAAACGCAAGTTATGTCTATAAGATCATTATTCACAGTAAAGATTACGATATACACGCAAACAACAATCAAGAGAAAATAATATAACTAATTACAGTTGCTAACCTGCATTATAGATGCTCCCGGACGACACAACAAGCTTCAAGCCTGGAATTCTCAAACCGACGCAATTACCGGCCGACAAACTGCAACCGGCACAACAAAAAATACTCTACACAAGAATAAATCATCATAAGTAAAATCACAAAGATTTGTTGTACGCATAATGGCAAACCCTACCAAAAAAAAACCCAGGTGAAAGAAAGAAAAGGTAATTGATAGATTAGAGAATTCTTTCTGAATGAAGAAACCAGAAACGACTAATTGAGGGAAATTGATAGCAAATATAGACTTCTACAAGCAGAAGAACCAGGAATCAAACTATTCTACTGATAGCAAATTCGACAAATCGAAAATTATACAAACCAAAATCGTAGGAAAAAGAAATACTCACAATCACCAACGAGATCGATTTGTCGTCCAGAAACCAGCTCGGGTTAATTCGGAGATACGCAGAAGCCTTAATCGGAGGGGATTTCTACGTAACGTGCTTCGCGGTAAATCGTATCAACAGCCTTTCGAGACCACCGGCCGTCTTCCTTTTGAGTAATTCGTTCCTCGCGGTGGCGAATCTCGGGAATTGAATTGGTTTCTATTTTTTAAATATTCTTTAATTTGATAAAGGATAAAAGAAGTCGATTTTCTATTAATATTTCCAAACACTAAATAATAATAGTTTCTCTCTCTCTCTCTCTCTCTTTTTCCTCGAACCATTTGCAGATATTGATTCTTCTGACAATCAAACCTAGTCGAGTACTTTCTATTAAATTTCCCTCGACGTTGCATTTCTATTGATACATATATTCATAAGTTGGAGATCGATATAACAAATGAATCGGGCATCGATATTTTATAATATTACAAAATATATGTATAAAATATAAAAATATCAATAAAATCTCACTAATTTAAACGTAGTATTAATAATAAAAAATTTTAACATGAGATAATTATTTATTATTTTAAATTTTTTTATGAATTTTTTATTTTATAATTTAAAAAATATATATCCATCAATATTAATACTTTTCATAAAATTAAGTCTCGAAGTACTTTGAGTTAAATATTTAACACATTTCTTATCTTTTAAGGATTATAGATGGGAGTTGATTTTTTCTTTTTTTAATTCAAAACATAGTGATGTGCAATGATCAAACTATTATATTGACCTTCGATTAGGATTGATGGGAGCTTATAATAAATTTCAACTCCTACCCATATCTGTAATGTAATATTAGAAGGAATAAAAAAACCATTTTTTGATTTTTCAAATATCAGTAATCAAAGATTCAATCTCAATATTAGTTTTTGATGAAACATTAAAGGAGCTTGATGTGTATAAATAATTGTTTTCCAGTCAATCATAACTTATGTTTTAATTAATTTCAGATTATGCTAACTAGAGTCTAGCTCTGCAAATTAAGGTACATATATTTAATTATGAAACTGAGAGTTTCTCACTCAAAAAAAATTAATTTTGGAATTTTCTAAAGAGGATGAAGCAAGACTTTTGCTCGCTTGAGAGCTCAAATGGTCCCGCATTAATATTAATATCTACTGGAGGAACAATGAAGGCAATAATAAATAAATACATCATGCAAGGATCCCATTTTCATTGTGAAATATTTTCTAAAACAAAATGCTGCAAGATCTTCCGTTGTTCAATTTTAATCTAAAAACAGCTTGTTTTGATTTGAATATTTCATAAACGGAAGCTCGAGATACAAATGATTAGCAGGATCATGCTAAAAATTTTATTGATCAAACAACTAAATTGAATCAGAGATTAACTTTACACTAAAATTATTTATTAGAAATGGAAAAAGAAAAAAAAAAATCCAACAGAAGTCCAATTTTAATGAAGGTCTCCCAAGGCTCTTTTCTTTTACTCTTTTTCTCCCTTTTTTCCATCCCTCTACAAGAAATGTACACGATTTCAATACTCAGACAGGAAACAAGAATGAGGGGCCAAAAGCAAATACTATATGTATGCAAATGTAGAACAGGGAGCGGCATAAAATAAAAGTAAGCAAAGGAAAAAAGAAGGAAAAAAAACGCATGGTGATGATTTCACATGCTACCAGCTCTGCCAGGAGGCGATTTCCCAGGCTTGAATTTTGCAATGTCGACGAGGTCCCCGAACAGTTTATCCTCTGGCTTGTTAGCTGGTTTCATGGGAGGCAAATAAGATAAAGCAGAAGCCTGAGAAGATGAGTTGCTCATACTCGTATCGTCTCTAATGGACATGCCATACATCTGCTGCTCAAGATATTGGGGGGGCGCTTGCTGCGGTTGACCGTGGCCATAGCCATACCCAGTGTTGTATTGGTTGTGGTTGCCATACATCTGTTGAGGGTAGTAGGGTTGTGTCATCTGGTTAGCTTGCGAATGTTGCGGAGGCATTGGCATAACCATGTTTTGCATGCCTGGGATCTGCTGCGGGTGCAACCCCAACTGATTGTTCGGATTAACATGGCTATTCATGGTTGGCATGTGACCGCTCGTCATCGGCTGAATGTACATACCTATGCCAACCACCTCATTCCCCATTGACTGAGGTCCCTGGGGGTGTCCGTGCGAAACAATAACCTGAGTAGTTACCTGCATTGATGTCTGAGGGTAATGAGAACCTGCTACTGGGCTGCCATCATCAGTAGACTGAGCTTCCCATGGCGGAGGTGGGAATGCACCAGTTGTTTGCGAACCTGTCACACAACACAACATTGTGTAAGTCTTCCATTGGTTCACGTCGAACTCTAGAACACAAATTCCAAGCAAATGGTATGATAATCCATGCACTAATTAAGACTAAAAGACACATGTCAACAGAACATTAGCATAAAGAACACATAAAACTCAATGAGCAAATATGAATTACAAAGATGGAAGATTCCCCAAGGTTTCAGCAATAACGGAATAAAAATCATGATCAATTCTGGTGGCATTCAAAAGCAAGCCAAGCGTGAAAGAACATGAGATAAGAGTACCATAGACAGGTGAAGGGGGCTGCTGCAGCTGCTGCTGCTGCGGAATTTGACCATTCCAGGGAGAACCTGGACCCTGCATGTACATCGATTGCTCATAATGAGGTGAACCCATATTCGTGGAATTCCCGTTCGGATACATGCCACCTTGTGGAGAGTGAAGATTTGGCTGCTGTTGAAATTGAGAAGCAGGTGGGTGGGATTGCCCGTTGGGGTTGATAGGAGGGGGATTTGCGGGATTAGAGGCATTGTTACCATCAGAGAACATGTCAAAAAGAACAAGAGCATTTTGATCAGATCCAGGAGTATTAGGTTGTTTCTCTCCTCCTAGAGGAACAAGAGCCAATGAATTATCTGCCTTTGGTGAATTGAAGTCACCGCTCAGAAGGTCCACACTGGGTTCAACTCTAACTGGAGGAACTGGACCATTAGTTGCAGAAGGTGTAGGAAGCAACAATTGATTCAGGGTTTGAGAACCTTCACCGGCATTTGAGGTGGCTCTGCAGAACAATTAAAATGTCAGATACACGAACGACATAAACCAGGTAGTCACGACTTAGATGACCAGAACCAAATATTTAAGCATTTGATGAAACCTTACAGACATTAAATCTTGAGAATCAGAAAGTTCAATCAAATACATACGTACTTAGAATTTCAATATTTTAAATGGATTTTGACAACAAAAGTAATTACAACGAACATGTGACTACATTATTCTAAGTAAATGATGAAAAAGAAATAATAATGAGATATGTATTGTACTAGGAATTACCAGTAAATAATGCAAAAGGTATCAATCAATTCTAAAAGACATAATTACTTTGTCTCAGGCTGTTTGCTGTTATCTACAGTGTCAATAAGAGGCCGGTCCACGTCAACGAGTGCTGCAGTAGATTCAGACTTCGGTTTTTGAGCAACAGGAGTTCCAGAAGAAATGGATTCATGCCTCGCAAGTAGCCTCTGCAGATCATCATTAAGAGCAAGTCCTTGGCAGAGTAGTGACTCGTCCCTGCACCAGGGTTATTATGTAATAAACATAAATACATGCATATAGACAATGAGACTTTCCATTTAGCGTTCGTTAATGTAGATTTCATACACTAGTTGTTCTATAATAAGTAGAGCTGAAAGGAACGTACAACCCCCCATAAATTGTTCGAGCAAACTCACTCAACATAACCACAATTAGTACTTCAAGTAGGCCACTAGAAAAGTAGCGTACGTACAGTTAAAACTGTTGGAGAAACAAAGTCGTGCTTATACATGTAATTACTTTCTTTACAAGTGAATTGGAAATATTTTGTAACCACCCTCCCCTCTTTTGTATATTACTTATTTGTCAAAGAAACAAAAATAAACAAATAAAGAAAGAAAGAAAGAAAGACATATATGTAGTACTGTAGTACTGTAGTAAAAATGATCTTCTGAGAATGAAATAAAATCACATTGACAGTTCAAACCAAAAGGACATCTCAAACAAATATTGCCGTTCTATTACTGTTGTTTTTATCATTATGACGATGATGAAATAAAACTTTGAAGCATATTATATGAGAATTTAACTAGAATTGGTGTACTACTAATGTACCACTTATGATGGCTCATCCAATAATCTTTGCTATTTCGAAGGAAAAGGGCATCTCAACCTTTGAAGCTTGGGATGCTACTGGAACCAAAAGTTGCAAATTAAGCATTAGAAGAAATCCAAAAGATGAGCAGATGGAGGATTCTGGGCACAATGCCTAAGTGGAATTTACCCCACTGAAAGGGAAAGTGGGAGAAGGCCGTGGCTTCAAGATTGGGAGTTTTCTCAGATGCCTCTTCTTAAAATTAACAAACTCCAATGTACTGATGAGTAAAAAAATGAGGATGAGAATCTGAAAGCACCAAGGTTCCAAGAATTTTTTTTACTATTTATCATGGAGGGTTGAATACAGCAGAAAGAATTTAAAAGACATGCTCCTAAAACTTTTCTCCAACCGAATCAGTATAGTGTTGTGGAGCTGAAAGAAATGTTGAACATTTCTTCTATCACTGCTGTTACAGTATGAAATGCAAGGAATTCTTATTGGAACGAGTTCACGTGTCCTGGATATTGAGGAAAAAAATAAAGGAGAATATGGTTCAATTTTTGTGCGGCCATAGATTGAACATCTCTTCTATCACTGCTGTTACAATAGGAAATACTGGGAATGCTTATTGGTAGAAAGTTCACATCTCCTGGGTCTTCAGGAAAAAAGCAAAGGAGAATATGTTCAATTTTCGTGCGGTCATAGATTGAGGAGAGGAAATATTTTGAGGAGAAATATAGTAAAAGCAATCCTATAGAATATTTAACTGATGGGAATTCCAAAATTTTAGAAAAAAGGAAAGGGCTTGGAAAGAAGTGGTTGACATAGCTAAGTTACATACTTCTCCATGGTGTTCTTTATCTAATTCTTTTTGTAATTACTCTATTGTAAGGATTAAATCGATTTGGAGCTCATTTCGTGAACTCCAGTATAGAAAGTGAGTATGTTTTGTAACTTTTCACTAAGTCAACCAAAAAACATATATTTCCTCGTTAAAAAAATAATGAGCATATTTGTGGACGCGCAAATGGGAACAATTTGTGAATGCAGAAAAAAAATAAAATGTCAATAGTAGCAGTAACATGGGTTTCAAAAAAAAAGTAAAAAAAAAAAAGCAGTAACATGCAGAAGAGCAACTATAAGTAGGAGTCCTTACGCAGTCGAGTTAACAAGGTGAACCACCCTCTGCTTGTAAGTACGGCACTGGTCAACCAAGTCAACAATAACCTCCTGTCTAATTGCCTGACAGTATGAGAAACCCCAACATGAATAGAGTCAATAATCCAGACAATGTGTGATTTGACGGAAGAATAAAAAAAACATCCCTAGTATGACATGAGATATAACATATTTTTGCTTTCATTTTAAACTAACAAAGTACCTCTTTATTCCCTGGTTCACATGCATTAAGCATTTCTGAAAGGACATCCATAATTCCACGGGCATTTTGGATTTCAGTCAGACTGAAAAGATGGAACCAAAATCAGTTCCGTAGTTCCATATTGACTATATTCATAAAATGAAAAGGCATCCAATGATGCTGGAGAATGAGAATAATAGTGGTTTGTGCACCTTAAGGTCGGAAACTCAGACTCTGCAGAGGTCTCAGCACCATCTTGCTGATTCCGATCAGCATTCCGCATATTTGGAGGATAAGATGCCAAAGGTTGTGTCTGCGGAGGTGTGAATACAGGTGCAGAGCTTTCGGATCTCTGGGGGAAGACTGCCCCAGAACGCTGAAACAAAGAAGGTATTGACTCACGTGCTGTTGTCATGATAGCCATCAGAAGATGGTGCATGAAAAAAAAGAACTGAGACATGCGCACAGTATTGCAAAAATGCCAGAAGTTCAAAGAATAAAGCATTTCTAAAGATTTTTTTTTTCTTAAAGCATTTCTAGCATTTCTAAAGAATTCAACGAGTCTCAATGAGAAATGTTGTTAAAAATTGTCTTATGACACTTACCAACAATTCCTGGTATGCGGCATAGTATTGTGGATATCTGGCCCTAGGTCCTCCAAAAGCCTCTTGCCAAGTATCTATCAGAATCAATATCTTCTCTTTGACCCGAAAATCAGGCTACAGCATACCCATAATTACTAAGAGGTTAATTTTGAAATAAGAACAGGTGAAACAAGAGAACAATCAAAATATTCTAAATAAAACTCCTACCTTCTTCTTCACCATTTTTACCATCTCATGAAGTAGACCCTTCTCTGCCACATGCATATGGACAATGTCCCCACAATTCTTAATGATTGTTTCCAACAGCTAGAAAGCAGAGATAAGACAAAATCAAAAATCAATTTAAACTTCTAAAACATAGAATACCAAGATTTAGTAAAGTGAACATCCCTGCAGGAAACAAAGCAACGCAAGCTTATCAAGCGGATCAGCAATTATAACGAAATCAAATTAGTAACTTCCTGAAGAAATTATTGCGGTATCTTGAGGTAGTATCTCATCTCATTATTCTCCTTTCAGTAAATGGAAGTTGGAACCAAAAATAAATCAGTATAATCTTCAACTGGAAAACTGAGTTTTCTAAGCTATTCCTTTTTCTCCCCTTTTAGGAGATGTAAGCTTTCCGTTAAGCAGAATTGGTATACAAAAAAGGTACAGAGAAATGAGGCATATCCTCACAAGATTTCTGTGAGCAAATCCTAAATAAATGATTATCCTAATACTAGATGGAAAGGGTATTTAGATGGAAATAGTCTAACCAAGGACTTCTTCATCTCATTGTTCCTGTCATTGTGGCCAATTTGAAAGCATACTTGTATATAATCTCCCTATTTCTAAGGAACACTGACCCTCTATTACTTTTGAGTATATATGCATCTTACTCCAGTATCAAAGAAATTGTTCTGTTTTTATGCAAAAACGTTTATTGTACCCCTAGCAGATAACTCTAATACTATACGAGAAGCCAAAAAAAAAAACACTGTGCACCATGGAGTCCTATACTAAAAATCCATTGCTCTTCAGTATTACCAAAGTGCAAAACAGGGAGTTATAGTTAATGCATGGCTTACTATATTTGGTAGCTAATGAACATATAAACATATAATATACCATGAGACGAGAGAACAAATTTTTTTAATATGTTACTAGTTGCAGTTTTCCTTATCAATGAAATTGTTTCTTATAAAAAATTAAATTAAAAAAAAAAAACTATTTGCGGTTTTCATGCATCCAATCAAAGCAACCTAAAACCCTAACTTACACAAGAGTCAATGACAGCGATTTAACCATGACACGATCCATTTAGAACAATCATAAGACAGACTCATAGTAGTTGCCTCCACTATAACAAGGAAGAACGATTCAGGAGATAATATGGATTTTTTCTTCTTTTGTGGTGAGAAAGAAGATAGCATCCACGCCAGACAACAAACAAACATCTTCTTTGATCGTTTTAAGAAACAAAATCCGAAACTAACATGCGGCATAGATATTGATGTCCAATTAGTCAACAATTGGGCAGTAAATAGAGTAAATAATTCCAATAATCTCAATATGACACCCGACACCGAGTGCATAAAAATAACAAAACAAAATTAAAAACAAGTCGATCTTAGAACTTACCGTCAGGGCAAGAAGTTGAACCTTTGAGTTCTTACTTCCAAGTCGCTTCTTTATACCTTTAACAACATCTTTCGCTTGCCTGAAAATTTGCCAATGGAATAGTGAACTCCAAGCTTAGAGGTTAGACAAAAAGAAGTAACAAATCAAATCCAACGCCCAACGAAATAATGGAAGCATCGTTAAATCACTCCTCCTCGAGAAATCAAATTAAACGAAAAATTGACAGAAAATCCCCAGCTTTAGTCAGCAGCAAGAAATTACTCGTTCACTTATGGGGATGCATGTATGGCCGGTTGCTGAGTCGTAAATTATAATTTCCAATTGAATACATAAAAAGAAGACAGGGAGGAGGGCAGTTTCCATCCAGCCCCTCTTGAATCTTCAGACGGTAAATACAATAATTTCAAAATCCCAAAAGCAGAATTCCAGTTATCATTTATTTTCGCGCCGAACAAATTCACAGCAACCAGACACAAAAAGTAATTACATCCAAATCGAAACAATTCTTCCGCTCAATCATTTAAACTAGCTCACAATAAGAACGGGCAACATAACACCCTCAGACTGAAACGTTTACGACAAAAACAAGGATTGAAGATGAAAAATGATAAAGCTAACAATCGGAAGAAATGCATACCCAGGGTCATGATTCAGCATATCACAGATCTCGATGTTCATCGCCCAATCGGGACCAATCAACATATCGCTCGTAGCACGTGCCACCACGGAATTCACCATCTCTCTTCCGCGCAAACAACACTGCCCGATCGGAAGCAAAAATTCCTATTCCGGCAACCGTAAAAGTTTCCACCGGCGATGGCAAACAGTTTTCCGGCTAAATAGCTGAATATTCCGTCTCTCTCTCTCTCTATCGAACGCTCTCCGGCCGCGAGATCGCCAGTAACCCCCCTTCTCTCGACAAACAATACTTTTCCCTTTTTTTCTTTTTTTTCTTTTCTTTTTTTTTTTTCCTTAAGACATTTTAGCTTGCTTTCGCATAGGCATAGATGGAACTAAAATGCAAGACCAGTAAAGTAGCGCCACGTGTAAAACAAGGATCCACTTCCGTTGTATTGTACTGTGGTGGAGGACTTTCGTTCCGTCGGCTGAACCGGCGTATTTTTCATCAAGCGGTTCCTTGTGTTCACTTTATATGGGTCGCACCGGCTTTCATTAGAGAATCATCCAGTGCGACGCGACCATTGAAGTTACCCAATCATTGCTTAATATTTTAAGCTTCTCTTTTAATTTTTTTATTGAAATTAAATTTAATAATTGTTTTAATCCTTTCATCCAACAAATGAGATTTACTTTTTTTTTTCTTCTTTTACGTTTTCTTGAAACAATGGCAACCTGGGAGATCTAAATTTCAACATTTGAAAAAGGTAATATTTGTTCTTGTTTAAAAGTTAAATGTCTTTGTGCTAATAGAACATCGTGGATTAAATCCCGAGTTATTGCGAATAAAAAATGAAACGATGAGATTATGGAAGTAAATATTCTCGCATTTGTTGCTACTGCTCATTCTAGTTCCTACCGTCTTTTTACTTATAATATACCTAAGAACAATAAGTCAAAGTGATTAATTTGAATTAACCTTGACTTTTTAGTTCTTATCAATGATTGAAGATAAGAAAAATGAAAATGATTAAAATTTCGCGTCTTAAATGAAATTGGCGGACTATAATTATCATTATTCTACGATGTAACCTACAAAAATAACTACACTCATATATTCAAGTCAATTATTTTCAATATTATCTCGAGACAACCTACTAATCATGTCTCTACCTAAATATGATAATAATTCTCTTATTTATATTGGTTGTAGATGGGTCACTGGGAGGTTATTAAACTCTTTTTTTTTTTAGAAATTACAATATAGGTTCCAACGATTGGTAGGGGATATTTTGAGATCCAAAGTTGGTTGACTAATCCTTATTTTTTCTAACATTTCCTGTTTTTTAAGCTCACTTGGCTTCAACTCTCAAGTTCTCTAGACAACTAGCACCTTTGTGGAAGGTCGACTTTTGGCTTCTACTATCTCTAACACTTATTTTATCCTTTCAGTCATGTTTGAATGTGTCGAACGGATCATACTCACACCAACGTATTCTCTAATAAATAGATTCTTCCTCTAACACAAACACAGTTCAAGATTTATTCTTTGGTGAACTTAAAAAAAAAGTCGTGACTTGTACATTAAGTTATTTATCAATCCAATTATAGTTTCAAATATTTTTTTTAAGTACAACAACTTACGATATTTTATTCGATAATAGGTATATTAACTAATAAAGCTATGAAATTGGCTATAGTTTCAAATATTAATCCTCTCATTCATAATATTGGAAACATTAAAAAGAGATGTAAATAGATTATCTTACTTTATTTATCTTATTGTTATTGTGTACCATATTTAAAAACAAAAATATATGGTTATTGTATCAAATTGACAATTTAGAGTCTATTTGATCACGATCTTGGTTTTGGACCGGGGCTTTTTTATTTATTTATTTTTTGAATGTTTTCTATGCTTATTTTTCTATTCTTAAAAAAAACAATATATAACTGTTTTTTATATAAACTATTTTTCGTACGTGGTGTAGCGGGACTCCTTGTCGTACGAGATTTCTAACGTGCAAACGGATATTTTTAGTGCACGGGGGTCACACTACCCTCTGCCAGTCTGTCACTTCTATTGACTGCCATTGACAGGCCACAATATGTCTCTCGGTGCATGGTAGACATGCAACCTTTATCCTCCCATAATCATATACTTTACGCTGTCTCTAGTCCCTCTTCGGCTCCTCAAATCTGACATGCTTCCTGTCACAATCGCACCTTTTCAAAGCAGCTCGAGCGATTGTGCGGCACTTACTCTAGCTCAAACGAGCAAGTCAGCCAGGAAAAACTGTAAGTTGCGGACAATCTCGGTCGTGGGTCTAGCCTCCGCTCACGTTTTAGGAGAAAATTGGTTTTAGAAAACGTGAGAGAGAAAAACAGTTGAAAACATCTTTAAAACAAACATTGTAGACATTGGATGCAAGAAAGCTTTGATTGCAAGAAAGTATACAACACTTGGTCGGGGGAGGTTTGATGACTACTTGGTCCCCCCTAAGGTACATTATAAAGCATTTTTGGTGTGGCAGGTGTGGACGTCCTAAGTGGCGAGGAGTCACTCGGTGGCCTACAGGGCTCGTGTGAACTCCGATTGGCTTGAAATTTGGCGTGCTTACATATCTTACTAATACACACCTAGTTCCAAAGCCGCTCGGCCAAATTCCACCTACAACCCCAAAAACCCGATACAAGAACATTACACTAGAAAGCTTTAAAGACATGAAAGGAAAGCGAGTGGTGAGGATGGTTTGGACATGCGGCCATGGGTAACACTCCCTGGACAAGCATGCCCACAACATTCTCCCCTACTTAAACGGTTGACGTCCCTGTCAACTGCTGCAACTTGAAGTCCTCGATCTTCGTCTTCCAGGCTTCAAGGTCTTCTTCTCGTTCCCAGCTGGTCTCTGCATCAGGTAGGTC